GGGGGGGGGGAGGGACCAGCAGACCAGATGGTCAGGCTTCAGTTTGGTCTGCACTATGTGTTTAAAAAGAAGGGGGCTGGAGACAGGTTTGGGGGGGCATCCCTTTAAGGGGCCCTGGAGCCAGTGGGATGACAGCCAACCTCAGGGCTGTCATGCTGACCACAGAATCATAGAATGTTAGAGTTGGAAGGGACCTTGCAGGTCATCCAGTCCAACCCCCTGGACTCTGCAGGAGCATAGCCGAAAGATTGCCCTACAGCCAGTGTTCCCTCTAAGCTGAGTTAGTGTGAGCTAGCTCACAGTTTTTTAGCCTCCGGCTCACACATTTTTGTCTTAGCTCAGGAAGGGTGGCTCCAAAGCAAACTGATTTATGCAGTAGCCAAATTGGCCGCTCACAGCTTTAATGCCAGTAGCTCACAAAGTTGAATTTTTGCTCACAAGACATCACAGCTTAGAGGGAGCATTGCATACCTGAAAGAAGGTCGTCCAGCCTCCGCTTGAAAACGTCCAGCGAAGGAGCATCCACCACCTCCCGAGGCAGTCTGTTCCACTGCTCAACCATTCTTACAGTTCGGACGTTTCTCCTGATATTTAGCCGGTAACAACTCCCTTGTAATTTCCACCCATTAGATCTAGACCACACCTCCAAGAAGCTCGTAGTGGGCAGGAACAGCAGCTTCCACCACTTCCAGCCCCGACAAGCCGTTGGGTTGTTGAGCTGGACCCATCGTCCCATTGCTGCACCAAGACCCGGGGATCCTGTAATCAATAAACTTCTGGCCTGATTTTCCCCAGTCCAACGCGTCTGTGTCATTCTTCTCTCCTCCTCCTTCAGTCTCGTCTCCGCTCCAGACACATGTCAAAACTTGAAAAATTGCAAATTGCAACCTGCAAGTTGAGACATATTGGTTTTGGGTTTTTTTAAAGACCATTCTCATTATGGTATAGCTCTGTTGCAATAGACATGCTTTCATTTATCCAGAGATGCGACTTGCTCTGCGTTCAATTCTCTCGCTGGCAGCTTTGCTCCTGCGCGCTCTCGGCCCTTTTTTGGAGAACAGTGCCATGTTTGTGTAATAACCCATTAAGCTCCTATTTAAACGTTTGATCCAGTCGTGTCTTGGGAGCTGTCTCTCTCCCTCTGCAGAAAACTTCAAGGAATGCCTAAGCCAGCAGAACCCGCAAGCCAATTACTTATTTACCTAAAAAAAGAGAATAAAGCTGTTCCTTAATCAGTCCCAAAGGAAGCCTGCAGGAACGACACTCTCTCTGCGTCTAAGGATAGCGGCACGTGTGCATTTCCTACATGCAACCGATACTGATGCTGCATTTTCTCATCCCTTTGCTTCCATTTTAGACATCCCGCTCTTCAAAGAAAGTGCATAATTTTGGGAAGAGGTCAAACTCCATAAAGAGGAACCCCAACGCACCTGTCGTTAGACGAGGATGGCTGTACAAGCAGGTATTGTCGGTCTGCCTTGCTGAATGCTCTATGTAAAAAAACCCAAAAAACTGCTCTGTCTGAAATTACCAAAGATGAAAGCCACACGGACTGTTGCTTTTATTATCCCTCATTCCATGATGAAGGAAACCCACTAATGGTGGGCACAAGAGAATCCAGTAATTGCAAATCAGTGATTTTGTTGTTGTTGTCACTTTCTGGGCTTCTTGGGGGAATGGCGAAGCCCGGGGCGACGGGGGCTTGAAGCTCCTGTTAGAGGAGATTGGAAGGTGATCCTTGCTTTGTAAGGCGTTTATAGCTAAAGCATCGCCCGAGCATTCTGCTCCTGGGCTGCCAATACTTTAGATTTGCTTTATTCTCTAAGCTTTAGATGAGTATTTGGAGGGCTCTCTTTGACTTTTGCACGTGCGAGCATCCGTATTTCATTCTAAGCTGTCCTTGAAAACAAATGCAGTATTAAGTAGCTCTTGACCTTGTTGCTGCGGTTACAAATGCAAGAATTTAGAACACCGTTCCCTCGCCTATGCATCTTACATGCTTGCCGAAGGGGGGGAAAGCGATAGTCTAAGGCCCAGACACAGTTAGAGAGACAGCAGCAATTTGTCAATTCCGTATGAGTATAAAGATGTTATTACCCCCATAATTTGGCATGTGTGATCCAGCTCTGAAGGCGCAGGATGGTGGTGTCCATGAAGGGCACGTCTGCATATGCTTTAAGAAACCTGAACAGACAGTGAGACATTGCCTGGGGTCTGCATTCGTAAGCAGTGCTCCCTCTAAGCTGTGGAGTCTGGTGAGCAAAAATTGTACTTTGTGAGCTGCTGGCATTAAAGTTTAGAGTCCCGCGGCACCTTTAAGACCAACAAAGCTTTATTCAAGGTATGAGCTTTCGTGTGCAAGCACACTTTTTCAAATATTTTTTTTGGGGGGGGAATTGAAAATATTTGGAAAGTATTTGAAAAAGTGTGCACGCACACGAAAGCTCATACCTCGAATCAAACTTTGTTGGTCTTGAAGGTGCCCGGGCCGCAGGGCTCTTTTTGTAGCAGGAACTCCTTTGCATATTAGGCGACACACCCCTAATGTAGCCAATCCTGCAAGAGCTTACAGTAGCCCCTGTAAGAAGAGCTCTGTAAGCTCTTGGAGGATTGGCTACATTAGGGGGGAGTCGCCTAATATGCAACAGAGTTCGACTCTGAATTTGTTCTACTGCTTCAGACCAACATGGCTGCCCACCGGAAACTGGCATTAAAGTCGTGAGCGAGCGATTTGGCTATTGCATAAATTAGTTTGCTCTGGAGCCCTCCTTCCCGAGCTAAGACAAAAATGTGTGAGCCGGAGGCTAAAGAACTGTGAGCCAGCTCACATCTAACTCGGCGTAGAAGGAACACTGTGCATAAGATGGTTCCCAGGTACTGTCAGGGTATTGAGAATTCAAGAAAATGGAAGACAGACTAGCATTAAAGAAGCTAGATTCAACTTCAGGAGCAGCTTAGAGACCAACCAGATTTACGGGGCATAAGAAGACAAGAACATCAGAGAAGCCATGTTGGATCAGGCCAATGGCCCATCCAGTCCAACACACTGGGTGTGTTCAGACGGGGCGTTTCAGCCGGCATAAACTGTACCGGTTGGAACCGGTGCAGTTTATGCCGGCTGAAATGTGATCACACTCACCTCCTGTCTGCGCAGCCCATCGCAATACGCCCGTCCACACTCGTCGTCGGCTTGTTTTTTTTAACTTAGTTTGCACATGCGCATAGGCGGGGTACAGCGTTTACAACCGTTGTACTCAGGATACCACCACTTGGGGACCTAGTGGCAGAGTACGTTTAAAGGGCTTTACAACGGTTAGGGACGGGAAGCAGATGTTCGCCGTGTGAACACCGGTAAGTACACTGGTTGGAACCGGCACCTATACCGTTGTAAATCCCCCATCTGAACGCACCCTCTGTGTCACACAGTGGCCAAAACCCAGGTGCCATCAGGAGGTCCACCAGCAGGGCCAGAACTCCAGAAGCCCTCCCACTGTTGCCCCTCCCAAGAACCAGGAATACAGAGCATCACTGCCCCAGACATAATGTTCCTTCTATACCTTGTGGCTATTAGTTGGTCACGGACCTCTCCTCCATATGTTAATCCAGTCCCCCTGGGGATTTGGGTGAGACTTCAGCTGCATCCTTCCCCATCTCTGCTAGCTGACAAATGGCAGGGTGCAGGAGCAGTGAAGAAAGTGAGCCTTGAGACTGCTGGCATCCCATTAATTTGAAGCTTTCTCAAAAGCTTATATCCCAAAAATCTGTCTGGTCTCTGAGGCACTAGTGGACTCAACTCATACTCTCCTACCGCAGACAAACGCAGCTACTCTTCCAAGACTAACTGTAATGATTTCAAGTTGTGTGTGTGTGTTTCTTTAAATTTTGGTAAGTGTCAGAAGAACGAGGAGGGTGAGTGAGGTGATTGGTTGTTGACTCAGTGTGTGGGGGAGGGGGCGGAGCTAGGAAGTGTGTGTGTGTGTGGAGAGAGAGAAGGCAGAGGTTCAGTCTGAAGTCAGCGGCTCTCAGTTGTGGTCAATCTACACAGAGTCAGAGAAGCAGTCTTGCAAACAGAATCATATAGAACTGCTGTGAAAGGCATTAAGATGCTAAAGGAGGAAGAAAATATATTTAAGGGGGCATATTAGGCAAAATCTAATATGGTCAGAGTATTTTAGCAGTGGGGGTAGCTTCTTTTACCAATAAAGTTTTATCTTGTTTATTGTGAACCCAGAGTCTCATCCTCAGAGCCACATAGTCCAAAGAAGGAGCCTTGAAGCTCGGGCACAATACTGTGGGAAAGGTTAATTAATAAGACTGGAATCAAATTCCTGGTGGCAGTGAAAGATACTTTGAGTGAGAGAAAGAAGCAACAAGAAAATTTAAAACAGCATCACACATAGCCACACAAAATAAGAGAGAGGTACCGTCACACTAGGAGCTGCGGTGGCTCAAGTGGTTAAGACGCTGAACTGCAGGCTGTGGAAGGTCAGTAGTTCAGCAGTTCGAGACCCAAGTGTGCCACATGATGGAGTGAGCTCCCATCTCTAGTTCCAGCTCCTGCCAACCTAGCAGTTCGAAAGCAAGACATTGCAAGTAGATAAATAGGTACTACTTCGGTGGGAAGGTAACAGCGTTTCGTGCGCCTTGGTGTTTAGTCATGCCAGCCACATGACCACGGAAACGTCTTCGGACAGCGCTGGCTCTTCGGCTTTGAAACGGAGATGAGCACCGCAACCCTAGAGTCGGATTCGACTGGCTTTCGAGCAAGGGAACCTTTACCTTTACCTTACCGTCACACTAACATTAAAGCGTGAGGCTGTGCAGAGAGCCAGATGCTCAGCTTCCGGCCCAAACTAAACAAGCTTTGTGATTTGGAAAATATTGTGTGTTGGGGCCAAGATCTACCCTCAGAGTAGACACTGGCATTTTTGTGATAAAATGTAGCACCCACTTAAGTGGAACCCTTGAGCATTCCCATGTTACAGGGGAGGATTTTGCCAATTATTTTGTTAAATATCATCGATCGTCTCATCCGTTGTTTTAAACCCAACCTTTTTGGACTGCAGTTACTACTTCTTAGCTTTGTTGTTGTTGTTGTTGTTGTTTTTGCATTCTGAATTTTAATGATTTGGTAGGGAAATCTGTACATCTATACAAGAGCAACAGTCGTAACATTTGAAATTAGAACCATTTCTGCACGGCACAGCCAGCAAGCGCGATCACTTTGTTTTCAGATGCCAAAGGCTCAGGGCGTCTGGGGCAAACCAGAACTCTACAGATAGTGTGGCTTTCTGACGAATGTCTGTTTATAAGGAACTGAAATTCATCCTTGCCCCTGTCTGTCGATTCGACACCACAAAAGGCAGTCAAACGAAAGCTAGAGCTAAATTGTGTTTTTCCCCCCCAGAGCTGTCAGAACCTGTTGAAACGACACGATGGGTATTATATTTGTTGTTGCCGTCTCTGATGCAGCCGTTTTTATATTTGGTCAGCCAACTAAAAATTTGGCATGGAATGTTTCTTCACAGGAGGAAAGGTCACCTTTTAAAAGCAAGAATGACCCTGACAGCCGCAGTTGCTGTAATTATTTGCCTTTGACTGGCAGGCCAATGTCAATTCTTTTTTTAAAAGTTAGTTTCCAGTGCGCCAGGATATTAAACTATTATATACTGTCTGTGCCAGCCTCAGATGTCTACGTGGAGGACTGCTTCTTCTGAACCTGAGCAGACAGAACTTCTTTATATGATATCAGACAATTGGTCCATATGGCTCAGTTATCTGTCCTCTGACCGGCGGCAGGTCCCTGAGATCTTAAGCGAAGAAAGGCCTTTCCTTTAACCAGAGTTGGCACTCAGGGTCCTCTTAACGTAAAACGGTGACTCACAGGCCCGTAGCTATAGTGGGGCCTCTCGCCCCCCCCCCCACTTACCACCAAGGCCCCACGACGTCCCATCCAGCCCAGGCTGCTCAACTTCCAGTTTTTAAATTTTATTTATGACGCTCGCTTGGAGGGGTATACGGGGTGTGTGTGGGGGGGGTGCCCCCACCTTATTTAAAGGCCCCCTAAATTAAAACATCATATTGCTGAACTGCAGCCCCTCTCTGTAAAGCAAATTTAGTATGGTAGCCAAAACGTTGTGCCGTTTAACATGGCAACCAAAACGTTGGTAACCAAAACGTTGCACATTCCTGAAATGGTCTGCTCATGTGAAGCTAACATTTATATTGTTCGTCTCCCCATCCCCTGTGGGGACTAGGATTGCCACCTCTGGGTTCGGAAATCCCTGGAGGTTTTAGGGTGGAGCCTGGGGAGGGCAGGGGACCTCAGCAGGAGAAAGTGCGGCAGAGTCAGCAGCTGCTTAATTTATATTCATGTGTAAACCATCCAAGGAGTGAGCACTCATTTCTTTCCCCAAAGAGGGTTTTATTCTCTTGACCTTGGGACAAATGGAAAAGCAAGTC